TTAAAAATATGTCAAATAGAAGTGGTGAAAATGGATATCATTTTCTTGTTCCTGATCTTAGAGGAAAAGCTCTCTATTTTTCACCATTGAGAAGAGGTTAGCTATGGGTTTTTCATATATGGCCTTTTTTATGTTGAGGTATGTTCCCTCTAGACCTACTTTGTTGAGGGTTTTCATCATGAATGAATATTGTATTCTGTCAGAGGCTTTTTCTGCACCTATTGAGATGATCACATGGCTTTTATTCTCTCTCTTGTTAATGTGATGTATTATATTGATTGATTTGTGAATATTGAACCACCTTTACATCCCTAGACTAAATCCCACTTGATTGTAATGAATGATTTTTTTTAATGTACTGTTGGATTTGGTTTGCTAATATTTTGTTGAGGACTTCTGGATCTATGTTCATCAGGGATATTGGCCTGTTAGCTGTTGTTGTTGTTGATGTTGTTGTTGTTGTTGTTGTTGTTGTTGTTTTTCAGAGTCTTTCTCTGATTTTGATATCAGGGTAATGCTAGCCTTGTAGAATGAATTTGGAAGTTTTCCTTCCTCTTATATTTTTTGGAATAGTTTGACAAGAATAGCTATTAATTCTTCTTTTATGTTTGGTAGAATTTACCTGTGAAGCCATCTGGTCCTGTTTGTTGGGAGATTTTTGATTATTGATTCAATTTCATTGCTGGTAGTTCATCTGTTCAAATTTTTCATATCTTCCTGATTCAGTTTTAGAAGGTTATATGTTTCAAGAAGTCTACTTTCACCACTTCTATTCAACCTAGTACAGGAAGTCCTAGCCACAGCAATCAGACAGCAACAACAAAAAATAAAAGGTATCCACATTGGTAAACAAGAAGTAAACTTTCACTATTGCAGATGACATGATAGTATATACAGAAAACTCTGAAGACTCCACCAAAAAAGTACTTAAATTGATAAACGAATTCAGTAAAGTCATGGGATGCAAAATTAATATACATAAATCTGTTGCACTTCTATACACTAATAATGAAGTAGCAAAAGAAAAATTAAGAAAACAATCCCTTTACAATTGCACCAAAAATAATAAAATACCTGAGAATAAACTTAACCAAGGAGGTGAAAGATCTGTACCCCCAAAACCATAAGACACTGATAAAATAAACTGAAAATGACACAAACATATGGAAAGATATTCCATGCTCATTGATTGGAAGAACCAGTATTGTTAAAATGTCCATACTATCCAAAGCCATCTACAGATTTCAAGCAATCTTTATGAAAATACCAACAACATTTTTCAGAGAAGTGGAACAAAGAATCCTAAGACCACAAAAGACCCTGCCTGAATAGCCAAAACAATGCTGGGAAAGAACAACAAACTGGAGGTATCACAATTCCAAATTTCAAGATGTACTACAAAGCTGCAATAATCAAAACAGTATGGTACTAGCACAAAAACAGACACATGGATCAATGGAACAAAAGCGAGAGCCCAGAAATAAACCCATATATGGTCAATTAATATACAACAAAGGAGGCAAGAATATACAATGCAGAAAGACAGTCTCTTCAATGAATGGTGTTGGGAAAACTGGACAGCTACATGCACAAGAATGAAATTAGACCACTTTCTTATACCATACACACAAATAAACTCAAAATGTATTAAAGACCTAAATGTGAGACCTAAAACCATAAAAATCCTAGAAGGAAACATAGGCAGTGCTTTCTTTGACACGGGTTATAAAAACATTTTTCTAGATACGTCTCCTCAGGCAAGGGAAACAAAAACAAAATTAAACTATTGGGACTACTGCTTTTCACAGTGAAGGAAACCATCAACAAAATGACAAAGCAACCTACTGAGTGAGAGAAAATATTTGCAAATGATATATCCAATAAGGAGCTAATATCCAAAATATATAAAGAATTTCTACACTTCACAATATCAAAAAACCCCAAATAATCTAATTAAAAATGGGCAGAGGACTTGAATAGACATTTTTCCATAGTAGCCCTACAGATGCCCAAAAGACACATGAAAAGATGCTCAACATCACTAATCATCAGGGA